TGTTTTGTTTTTCTTATCGGTTCTGGGCCTTGAATCCTGGGCCTGGGGCACTGTCCCTCAGCTCTTCAGCTCAAGGCCAGTGCTCTACCACTTGAGCCACAGCACCACTTCTGGTTTTCTGGTGGTTCATTGGAGATAAAAGTCTCATGAACTTGGGGCTGGGTAGGTAGCTCAGTTGTAGAGCGCTTTTGCCTTGCATGCATGAGGCCCTGGGTTCGATTCCTCAGCACCACATAAGCAAAAAGAAAAAAGCCAGAAGTGGTGCTGTGGGTCAAGTGGTAGAGTGCTAGCCTTGAGCTGAAGAGCTGAGGGACAGCACCCAGGCCCAGAGTTCAGGCCTCACGACTGGACCCCCCCAAAAAAAAGAAAAGAAAAGAAAAAAAAAGTCTCATGAACTTTTCCTGCCCAGGCTGGCTTTGAACCGCGATCCTCAGATCTCAGCCTCCTGAGTAGCTAGGATTTATAGGCGTGAGCCACCGGTGCCCAGCAAATTTTTTTTTCTGCTTTTCTATCAACACCCCAAAGGGCCAGGGCAGTGCGATCTACTCAGAACTTTATCCCAGCACCCAGTGTCGGATAGGGCATTCAGTGGGTGCTTAGTAAAGGCGTGCACGAGTAACAGGAATACTTAGGGCAAGAACCTGGAAGTAGCTTTCGTGCCACGTGCTTGGCAAGGCTGGCCTGAAAGGGGTGCCCGCGTTTCCGCCTCTGCCCAGCGGCCCAGCCCTGACTGCGGGCGTGCCGGGATGAGCGGGGGCTGGTCCTGGGTGACCCGCCGGCTCCCGCAGCCCGGGGCGGCTCCACCCGCTGGGTAGAGGAGGGCCCCTGAACCAGCCAGCGAGCCGGGGAGCGCAGACGACGCATCCAGGAACTCGGCCAGGCCGCTCCGCCTCCGCCTCTGCGCCTCCCTCCCGCAGCCTCCCGCAGCCTCTGCCCTGGCACCCCGAGGCTCCCGGGCTTCTTGGCCCCGCCAGCCGTCGGGCCTGCAGTCAGTGCCTGGGCACTTGGGTAAGCTCGGTGCCGCCCGCCCGCCTCCCTCGGTCCCCGCGGAAGGGCCGCGTCTCCGGGGCGCGCCTCCTCCCCCAGGACTCCCGGGCAGGCCGGCCTCCTGCCCGGACTGGTCCCCCAGCCCCGCCAGGTGGTGCGGGCGCCCTCTGGCTTGGGCGTGCAGGGGCCTGTAGCGCGGGCGGGGGTGGGTGGGTGGGTGGGGGTGCGCCGAGGGAACGGGGGCGGCGGGCCTCCCACTGGGATGAAAAGGGCTGCGGGAGCCGGCCTGGGGGATCGGGAGCCCAGCTCCGCCCTGAGCACTGGGCACGTGCTGACGCCCTTGGGTGGGGCCCGAGCCCCTGTGGCGGGCGATTTCAAGGTAAAGGCCAGATCCAGGAAGTCAGCCTGGCCGGGTCTCCCAGCAGCAGTGGGGGTAGGGGAGTACCCTTCCCTCCCTGCCCCATCTCCCCGGCAGGACCAGAGAAAAGGGCATGTGGGACTGGACCCGGCAAGATGGAGCTCAGGGCTGGCTGTGCCCAGCTGCCCTGTCCTGGGTCCGGCCTCCCCCACGTGACGGTTTTGCGGCCCCCATTTCCACCATGCTGTGTTTTTTTCTTTCTCTTGGACCATTAAATTAGCTTCTCATTGCTTTCCTTGCCTTTTCTTCTCCACAGAGGGCAGTGTGTGCGTGTGTGTGTGTGTGTGTGTGTGTGTGTGTGTCTGGCTTTGAACCAGGTCCCCATCCACTTCCTCTCTTGCTGGTATCACTACCTGCTTCCTTTGTTCCTCTCTTCACTCACACACACACACACCCCTCCATCTTTATCCCAACAGCTCCCTTTATTCTGCCCATGGCCTTAGGGGCCTCCAAGGAGGAACTGGAGTCTTGAGCTTGGGGAGCAGGAGGAGGTAACCACATTCCTGAATGTATTCATTTATTGAATTATGTTTTGTTTTGTGAGTTGTGGGGCTTGAACTCAGGGCTTGGGCGCAGTCCTTGAGCTTTTCTGCTCAAGGCTAGCGTTCTTCTGGTTTTCTGGTGGTTAATTGGAGATAATTGTGCCTGGTCTAGCTTTGAACTGCCATCCTCAGATTTCAGCCTCCTGAGTAGCTAGGATTACAGGTGTGAGCCACCAGTGCCTGGTTTGAATTGTGTATTTATGTATGCATGAATTTCCATTCACTCACACGGGTCCCTTATCCTTTCCCATTCATTCATTCATTCTCTCATTTATTCATTCTCTGGACACTGATTGAGCATTTACTATGTTCAGAGGTGGGATGCTGTGATGAATGAGTTCCATCCCTGAAGCCAAAGACAACTTGCTCAAGGGCAAAAAGGGGAAATCAGCTGAACATCTGGAAACCCTGACAGGTGGGGCCAGGTGAAGAAGGGTATGAAGTGGGAAAGGAAAAAATGCTCTGGGTTTGCAGGGTCCTAGGGCAGGCATGGTGCAGCCTTGGGACTTCCCAGGGTGTTAACTGGAGCTGAGAGCACCCAGCCTGCTGGGTTTGGGAGCCTCTACAGAGTTTTTTCTGGTGGGTCAGCATAAACTATAAGCATATTAGCTTATAAGCTATAAGAGGTGGTGATTACTCTTGTGTGGGCTCTGGATTCAAATCAGGATTCAAATACTGATTTGAATTTTTCTCTCAGACAAACCACCCAATATTCTTTACCTCTGATTTTTCCCTTGCAGGGGAATAATAGAGTACCTTGCTTTTAAGGGGTGAGCTCAGTGGTTGGTGGTGAAGTCCACCAGGTGCTGGCACAGTGCAGGGCATGTAGAGAGGACTAGAATGACAGGATAATGATGTGAATGCTTCCGCTGCTGCTGTACACAGTGATGCACTGTCAGATTCTGCCTTTAAAGTCTCTGGGCTGAGCTGGTAGAGTGCTTGTCTGGCATGCATGTAGCCCTGGGTTCAAATTCCTCAGAACCACATATACAGAAAAAGCCAGAAGTGGTGCTGTGCTTAAGTGGTAGAGTGCTAGCCTTGAGCAAAAGAAGCTCAGAGACAGTGCCCAGTCCCTGAGTTCAAGCCCCAGGACTGGCAAAACAAACAAGTAAATAAATAAAATGTAAAAAATAAAATAAAATCTCTGGGCTTCATTCTCCCCTGCTGTAACAAAAGTGGGCTGACCCAGTTCACTTGTTCTGAGTGTGTTCAAGGGACCAGCATCATCCTCATTACTGGAGATCTTATTAGAAATGTAAGTCCTTGCCGGCGCTGGTGGCTCATGCCTGTAATCCTAGCTACTCAGGAGGCTGAGATCTGAGGATCATGTTTTAAAGCCAGCCTATGCAGGACCAATACGTGAGACTCTTATCTCCATTAAACCACTCAGAAAACCAGAAGTGGTGCTGTGGCTCAAGTGGCTCAAGCTGGCCTTGAGTTGAAGAGCTGAGGGACAGTGCCCAGGCCCAGAGTTCAAGTCCCACGACCAACAAAAAAAAAAAAGAAAAAAAACGCAAGTCCTTGTGCTCTGCTTCCGCTTTACTAAATCAAACCCTGGGAGTGGGGCCTAGTAACCTGGATTTTCATAAGCTCTCCAGATGGTCCTGATGCAGGCTATAATTTGGGTCATTCATGCCTCCTGCATTTGGGGCCTTGGTTTGGGGGCAGGCAGTTGGAGTAGGTTCCAGAGATAAGCAAGATGTGGTTCCAGCCCTCAGGGGGGCTCCGGTGAGCTGGAAAGAGGAGGGAAGGTGGTGCAGAGTGTCTGAAACCACTCAGGACTGGAACAAGCCGGGAGCTCTGAAGAAAGATCGAGGCCCCTGTTGCTTGTTCCTGGTGGTAAGATTGGTTCAGTCTTGCTGACAGTCCTCTCAGAAATCTATTTATTTAAAGCCTTTTCCATTTTATGCCTTGTGTTGGAGTGAGGTAGATAGGGCTCTGCACAGGAGGTAAGGAGAGATGGCTCTAGACAACTTCCTCACTATATGACTCTGGGGGTCATATCCTGTTACCTCAATTTGTCTATCTTAGATGTGGTGGTCCTCTAGAGAGAGTGGGGAGGCTGAGGGTCTGGAAATTCCATGCCTTCTCTGCATAGTGAGGGCTCTGAAATTGCCCTAGGACCACCTGTTACATTACCTTGGGGAGCCTCATGTTTGAGCATTCCCATTGTTCTTCAGGGCTTGATGCTCAAACCTGTTGCCTAGCATGGAAAGTTCCCACCGTTCTGTAGCCCATGACTGCGTCCTGACTGTCCCTGTCAGCCCTGCCTCCTTACCCCTCCTTTCGGTTTGCCCCAAACCATTCAACCTCCAGGTGTGGATTTTCAGCTGGTGATGGTTATAGAGGATGTAAATCCTAGCTGGCCATCAGGGAGGAAGGACTCTAGTAGGTTCCCCTTTTAGAAGCGCCACCTGCCTATTTTAAGGAAGTGAGGGGTGTGTCCTGTCTTGGGCCAGCAGCTGCTGGATGCCAGCAGCCTGGGACAGTAGAGCAAGAAGACAGAGTCATTTCCTAAGGAGATGTGGCATGTGCTATCTGGTCAGGCTGGTGTCTCTCTGAGAGGCCCCTACAGCTCCCTGGAGTCCTGCTATGCTCCAGTGTGCCCCCTGGTGGACCAAAGAGAACCAGAACCCTAGGAGCTGTTCCCCAGCCCAGCCTCTGTAAGGGGGAAGGATGGTGTGTGTGTGTGTGTGTGTGTGTGTGTGTGTGTGTGTGTGTGTGTGTGTGTGTGTGTGTGTGTGTGTGTGGTGTGCGCGTGCACGCATGCGTGTCCACGCGAGCTTACGCACATGTATGCACTGGACTTGGGGGCAACTGGAGTACGGCAGGGGCTGGAGAGAGGTTGGTGCCAGTCCCCTGCTGTGGCTGTGGCCTAGTTGGCCGCCTCAGAGGAGCCTCCGTGCAGGGGTTCTAGGAGGAGGGGGTGGAGGGCAGGCTGAGGAGAGGCAGAGGCCCGGACGCTGCTATCAGCAGGCTCAGGAGGCGGGAGCCCTTGGGAGGAGGAGCCTCAGGGAGGCCGCCGGCTGTATTTGTTGCTGGACTGGCTGTGGCTCAGGTGACCAGAGACCAGGCCGGCGTCTGTCTCCGGAGCCGGCAGCTCCTCCCCAGCCTGGCCAAGGCAACTAGTGGCACAGCAATGATCCAGAATGTGGGCTGTCACCTGCGAAGGGTATGGACCCTGGATTGTGGGCTGGGAAAGACTGGAGGTGGAGGGAGGGCACCAAAGTCTGGGGACCCAGAAGGAGACTGAGGTTTCCCTTTTAAGTCAGCTCTGCATCTTCTGTCTTACTTTCCATGGGTCAGTTTTTGTTCTGTTTTGTTTTGTTTTTGTATTTTCCCTAGCCATCTTTGGAAGCAGACCTTGCAGAATTCCTGAAGTGCTTAGTTATAAGCAGCAATCCAGAAACAAGCCGCAGAGGCTCAAAGGGTTAGCTGTGTTGAGAGGAACACCTGTAGCAAGTTCTGGAATTCTGTGTGTGTGTGTGTGTGTGTGTGTGTGTGTGTGTGTGTGTGTGTGTGTGTTTTCAGACACACACACACCTCTGAGTTTCTGCTACTTTCTGAGTCTGAGCTTGTGGCTCTGTGGTGCTTGACTTTCCCAGTTCATTGTAGCTGATGGAAGTTAGATCAGAGAGCAGAGAGAGAGAGAGAGAGAGAGAGAGAGAGAGAGAGAGAGAGAATGTGAGTGACCTGTGTTAGGACAGGAGAGCAAGGCAGGACCACGTGAGGGAAAGTGTCCTAGGAGTAACCTTGAAAGCACTTTTCCCTGGAACCTCCTCGCTAGGGCTTTGGAGCTGAGATTCTATGCTGAGGTGTGAGAGACCCAAATGCTCCATTACTCCATTGGAGGCTTTTGACCAGTGCATAGAAAAGGGCTGATGCTGGTTGAGGGTTGCTGTCTGCTGGGGGATTTTCAGCAAAGGCCACCCCCCCATCTGCACAACAACTCACCTCCACACTCCCACCTGGACCAGTGCACTTTGCCATCTTGCTTCCTGTGTCCTATACCCATCCCTGCTTAGACGGCTGGCTCCAGCTAGACTTACCCACACCTAAGTATCTTGCTCATATGGCCCATGGCCCCTCCTTGTCCCATCATCCCAACCTGCCTGCCTTCTCAGCAGCTATGCTGATGTGTGTTCCTCTGCCTTGGTGGGTCATTTTGGCTCTGCTCCATGTTGCTGAACATGCTGTGCCCTCTGCCAGAGCAACCACTGCTTGTCTTTGCCTCCCTAACCGTCCTCCCTGGCAAGTACCTTTCCAAGCTCAGGCTCTGCTTGGGTTGCATTTGCTTCTCTCCTTCCACTGGTGAGCTTCCACAAGGTTATGTGTAGTGGATACAGCTCAGGGCTAGGCCTGGCCAGGGGTCAAAGAATACTTTGGCTTTTCAGTCAAGGATAGGACCTGAGCCTTCAGGTCGGGCTGCCTGGGTCTTCTCTCCAGCCCTGTCATATTTAACCAGCAATCTTTCTCCATTAATCCCATTGACAACTGAGAACAAGGCAGTGAGTAAGATATCTCCTTGCCACTACTTGCAGAAAGAGCAATAGTAGCAGCTCCTCAGCTGCTGACGGTCCCAGGGAGCCTGCCAAACTCATGCACCTAATAACTCATTCTGCTCTCTATGAAGTAAGCACACTCATCCATGATAAGGAATCTGAGGCTGAGAGATTAGTGACCTGCCCAAGATCACATTGATAGTAAGTGGCAGAGCTTGGATTGGAACTTGGTGATCCAGGGACCAGAACTGGAGTTCTTAAGGAGTCTGAGGTTCAGCCAGATGAAGGTCTGGATTTGCCATTTCCTACACCATGTAGGACTCCAAGCCCAGCTAGCATCCAGCTTCCCCCCACTGACTCCACTGGGTTGGTGAATGGGGGCTGGGGGCTGGGTGTGGAATCTGGGCCCATGAGGATACCAGGGACCTCACATCAGCTAAGAACACTCTGGCCTTGATCTCCACCTTTGAACTACTGCCTAGTTGGCAAGTCAGATTTCCTTTGCTGCTTCTTAACTTCTCTATTCCTTTCACAAGGAGAATCTGGGAAACTTTCTGGCTTGGTACTGAAGCTGTTTTTGATGAATAGTAGGAAAACCAGTGAATCCTACTAAACCCTTTTTTTTCCTAGGGACCAAGAAAGTCAGGTTAAACTGGGAATAGAAGGAATCTGAGACAGCCCCCAGCCCCACTTTGTATAGATTGGGGAGCCTTTTCAGTATCCTGAGACCCTGTACACACAGGGAGGATTGGAGTTCAGCCATTCTGGCTCGTTCTCACAGCCAGGTCCCCAGCCAGCCAGCACTCAGCACTGGCGCATGAGTGAGAGGGTGAGCGAATGAAGTTGTGAGCTTGCCACCAAGATGGGGAGAGCCAGGGATGCTGGAAGGGTCCCTCAGTGGAGATTTTCTCTTTTCTCCATGCAAGGTGCCAGTCTTACTGAGCATTGTCTTGCTTTGCTGAGCCGACAGGAGCCCCACTGATGTCTTAGCCAGCAAGAGGTCTGGGAATCGCTGCCCAGCCTCAGTTCTTGCCTGGCCCAGGTAGTTTCCAGTGCAGCCCAGGAACTGTTGCTGTTTCACTCTAGAAATGGTGATGGGCTCTTTGTCCCGTGTCACCTTGAGCCCTGGGATGGCTGGAAGCACCTCTCTCTCCCACCACTTCCCCAGAGTGTGGGGAGGTGCAGGCACAAGTTTGGATTCTGCTCTCCTGTTAATTGGTGTGGCTCTGGTGCTCTGCACCTCTGCATGCTAGGTGCCTTGGCATCGGAGGTCTGATTAGCCCTTGTCCTCCTCATCTGGAACTCCTTGCATCCAGTGAGTTCTGTCTTCCTTGGGCTCACTCAGCCCAGCCTCCACATGCCCACCTTTGCACACTGACAGTGTAGGTTTAGGGTTTCAGGCTGGCTGAGTTGACTCCACCATGCACCACAGACCAGGGTCTCAGGGAGGTTGGCCCACCACCCTTCCACTGTTGCCTGCACCAGTGGCAGGGCCATGCTGGTATCCTGGAGCCTTTGGAGAGCTGCCAACTACTCTGCCAGACACTGAAAGGATCCAGAGACCTGCCTCAGAGATTCCAATTCATTTTGCCTCTGTAGCTCATCATCTTTCTTTAAGGGTCCAATGGCAGGCTGGTTGGTCAGACAGTAGATGAAAGTAAACTGTTCTATTGCAGACCTACTGTCAGGCATATGTAACACCCTAACATTGTCTCAAGGCTGCTTTACTGAAAAGAAAGCCAAGCTTCTGGTATTGAGCTACTTTGAACTAGTTAGCCAGTTTAAAGACTTGAACCCTAGGCTCCAGTTAAACTTGGGTTCTGGTGCTGAGGTTGCTTAACATTGTCCTGAGCTGACCTGGCTGAACCAAGGACTTGACATCTGCCCTGTGCCTGCCATGTTCTGTGGCTCCAGGGACAGATGGTGCCACCGGCTGGGTCCTCTGCCAGCTCCCTGGCTGTAAGCTGGTGTGCCCCTGCCATACCCAGGAGCAGCCTCCTTGCAATAGGAAGTAATACTGGACAGGGATGGGAAGGGCCAGAGCCTGGCACTTTGGGGACATACGGATGAGTCAGAACAGACCTGTCCTCAGGTAGCCCCTGGCAGATGGAACTACAGAGAAAACTGTAAACTGTTCTCCACTCGGGGAGGGGTCAGACTCCCCTGAAGAGGTGATGGTTGGGAATCAGGGTCTAGGCAGAAGTACCTGTATGGGAGAGGGGGAAAGAGCCAGTCTCACAAGGAAAGGGTGAGGAAATTTGGCAAAGTCTTTTGGCTATGTGACACGTATTTCCTCAAGAAGAATAATTTGAGCTGGGTACTGGTGGCTCATGCTTGTAATCCCAGCTGCTCAGGAGGCTGCAATCTGAGGATCAAGGTTTAAAGCCAGCTTGGGCAGAAAAGTCCAGGAGCTTCTTATCTTCAGTTAACCAGTAAAAAGTTGGAAGTGGCCGGGTGCCTGTGTCTCATGCCTGTAATCCTAACTACTCAAGAGGCTGAGATCTGAGGATTGGGGTTCAAAGCCCACCTTGGCAGTAAAGTCTGTGAGACTCTTATCTCCAATAAAGCACCAGAAAACTAGAAGTAGTGTTGTGACTCAAATGGTGGAGTTTGAGCTGAAGAGCTGAGGGACAACACCCAGGCCCAGAGTTCAAGTCCCCATAACCGACAAAAAAAAAAAAGTCGGAAGAGGAGATGTGGCTTAAGTGATAGAGCCTCAAGGAGAAAAAGCGAAAAGCAACAGATCAAAGCCCTGAGTTAAAGTCCCAGTACTGGGGCTGGGAAGGTGGCTCATTGGTAGAGTGCTTATCTTGCATGCATGAGGCCCTGGGTTCAATTCCTCAGCACTACATAGCAGAAAAAACCGGAAGTGGTGCTGTGGCGCAGGTGGTAGAGTGTTAGCCTTGAGCTGAAGAGCTGAGGGACAGCGCCCAGACCCAGAGTTCAGACCCCACCACCACCACCACCAACAGCAAAGCCCCAGTGTTGGCTGGCACAGGAAAACAGCTTCGGTGGTGAGCAAAGCCTTCTTGGCATCAATCCCTTACTGGCACAATGCCCTGAGCACCAGGTAACTAGGCCTTAGTACCCTTTCCTGTGTGTCGGTGTGCTTGTCCCTGATCCCTTGCAGGGGTGGGGTGGGGTGGGTGTGAAGATCAGTGGTGCGTGTATGCAAAGCCTCAAAAGAATGTCCACAGGGGATTATAGAAGGAAGGCACCTAAAAAGTTTCTTGTGGCATTATCTCTTCCTGTGACACTCATTTTTCAGTCTAAAAAGTGCTCTCTGTACTTTGCCCTGTCTGGCTTTTCTAGAGCCCAGGGAATCAGCACAAAGTTGGGGCCTGCACTGGACCTCGGTTCTAGGTGCTCACTAGAGGAAGAGGGGCTGGCTGGGCTGATTTGCAAGTCTCTCCAGTCCTATTTGTGACCTCTGGACCAGGTTGTGCTCTGTCCCAGGGAGTGGCCTGGCCCAGGTGTGGACTGGCCTCCAGATCAGAGGTTGGGAAGGGGTGAGGCCTTCCAGTCTTCCTAAAGCAGCTCTGGTTCCCAGCTTACTCCAAGCCCAGCCAAACCAGGTGGGTCCACATCCCCTTTTCATCCCTTCCCAGGGGTTGGAGAGAACCAGGGCCCCACAATTCCTTCTCCAGGGATACAGCTCCTTCCTGAGCAG